CCAGTAATATGGTTTGCAGTTGCACTATGTGGTTTGTCCTGGCAAAAATGGAGTTCACATTTTACAGAAAAAAGATTTGTGCTGAGATATACTAGTCCAGAGGTCACGGATTAGACCCACCTGCTGGCTAATCCAAACCCAACCTGATTTAAAACATTTATAAATTACTGCATGTTGTCTAATTTCACTTGCCCCGCTTCTCCTGTTTGTACGGTAAAGCCCTCCAGAGCATCCGGGATCAGGCATGTGATGCTAATTATCCAATGAGCTGCTGTCAGTCTGGGTTGCTGCTGCTGCTGCTTTTAGACACAGCAGGCGAACCTGTGGCAAGCCGGGCGATGGCAAAGAAGGAGAAGATGATGAGAAAAAGAGAGCAGAGAAAGTATAGACTGCTGGAAGAACTGAGGTGAACTGGTGACAGAAAAGTGAAATGGTGCTCAAAGATGACCCTGAATATTTTGAGTATGTTTGGCTCAACCTGCTGCTGTGAAGCAGGATTCTCCACCATGAACAGAATCAAATTAAATATGGATCCAGGCTCAAAATGAGCTCCTTGATATGTGCTTTAGAATTACTTTGTCTCCATTTAAACCAGGTTTAAAGCCTCGCAGGGCAGCATAAAGCCCACTGCTCTCATTAAGACAGAAAAAAGAAAAAACAAAACAGTCAGTTCAGGTGTTTTATAAAATATGTGAATCAGGATATTGTTTATATACCAAACTAAATGATTGTTGTTCTCTACTTAAAAAAAACACTTTAGATGTTAAAATGAATTACTTATATATATATATATATATATATATATATATATATATAATATATAAATATTTTTTTTTATTATTTAAAAAATCCATGGATGCATGAACACCTCATTTTATTTTAGTTTTAAATTCTGTTTAAAGTTACAGATTATAATTAAAAATCTCTACGGACCTTTACTGGTTGTTTATTTTCTTTATTCGGACCCCGCTGATTTTTAATTGGTTACCCCTGTAATAGATCATGATCACAACAGCGCCATTACAAAAGCACTTTAACAAAAGACACAGTTTAAAAAAAGGATTGCTATCATTTTTCTTTTCACCAGAAAAAAAGGGTGCGGAGTAGATTCTATTAGTTTTCCTTATGGTCGATGTTTCCAAGCCAGACTTGCTGACATTCAGCTTTAAACTCCACTGCCTGTGGTCCTCTCTGTTTTCTTATATTTGAGATGTGGTGAAACCTTCTTTTTTCAGAACAGTTTTTTATCCAACATGAAATAAAAATTTTAAGCTTTGTAAAAAATGTAAAAACTCCTCATTAGTCAAACTTACTCAGGTGTTTCTTGGGCGATACTGCCTACCAGTGTGACAGTTAGCAACAGCGTACCCACATACGCTGTCACTTTTGTATTAAAAAATTACATAGGTGGGGGAGGTGTTCATTATGTCCTCCAGCATCATATACTGAAAGCAGCAGAACTACTAAAATAGCTCAGGATATCACAAGCCACTCCAGCTATATGCTTTATAAAAACAGAGGTTTTCAGCCTATTCTTATAATAGCAGACAAGGTAGGTGCTATTATGCCTCATGGACTCACCCACTGATGTTGGACGAGAAGTCCTGCCTTTAATTCAGTCTCCAATCTAATTCATCCCAAAGGTGTTCTATCTGGTTGAGGTCAGGACTCCATGCAGGTCAGTCCTGTTTCCCCCAACCAGGCTCTGCCATCCATGTCTGGATGGACCTTGCTTTGTGCTCTGGTGCTCAATCATGTTGAAAGAGGAAAGGCCAGATCCAAACTGTTCCCATAAATTTGGGAGCATTGAATTCTCCAAATTGTCCTTGTATGCTGAAGCATTCAGAGTTCCTTTGACTGGAACCAAGGAGGCAAGGCCAGCTCCCGGAAAACAACCCCACAGCATAATCCCCCTCCACCAAACTTTATGCACAATGCAGTGAGACTAATTCTCCTGGCAACCGCCACACCCAGACTGGTCCATCACATTTCTAGATAGAGAACTGTGATGGGCCACTCCAGAGAACTCGTCTCCACTGCTCTGGAGTCCAGTGGCCGTGTGCTTTTTACACCACTGTATCCCACTTGGTGATGTATGGCTGCTTAACCATGGAAACCTATTCCATGAAGCTCTCTGCACACTGTTCATGAGCTAATCTGATGATAATCCAGTGACTGACTCTGCAGAGTCACACTTTTTGCTTCAACATCCGCTCCATCAGTTTAGATGTCCAGCACTTTGTGACTGAGCTGCTGTCGTTCCCAAACACTCCCATTTTCTTATTATACAGTTTACTGTGGAATATTTAGGAGTGAGGGAATTACACAGGTGGCATCCTATCACAGTTCAACGCTGGAATTCACTGAGCACCTGAGAGCGGCCTCGCATTTCATCAATGTTGGTAACAGTCTTAATGCCCAACTGCTTGATTTTATACACCTGTAGCCATGGAAGGGACTGGAACACCTGATTCCAATAACCTGGATGGGGGAGCAGTTATTTTTGCCAATATAATGCGTTTTAAAAATGCAAGTCTGAATAATGGGTTTGAGAAGAATTCACCCTGCAACATTTTAAAATGGTTCAGGGCTTTTCATAATGTTTTTGTTATATAGTCAAAGTTAAAATACATGCATGAACTAGTTTCCCAGCAGCAGGACTGATGGTTCTAATTATAGAAATAGTGCAAAGGTGGATGAAGGACGTCCTAGAAACCTGTTTTCTAATGTAGGGTTTAAAGGACATGTTCTGGTCTAAGGTGACACTAAAGCTCTGTTATTGATGGGACCCAAAGAGGCAGATTAAAAAGACTGGGAATGGCCAACTGCTCAGTTTAATGCAAACTTTCAAACCATCTAAAATTAAATAAATCAATAAAAATGTAAATATAATGAAGAATAAGTCTTGTAGTGCAACAAAAAAAAAAACCTGACTAAACATTTAAAGGCTGTTGATTAAAACATGTTTGTATCAAAGATCATTATGATTATTATATGCATTGCTAACAATAATTTCTTGTTTTATTGATTGATTGAAAATGTCACCATCCCATTATTAGTGAAGTCAGCATTACTGAAAGCATCACAATTAAATGCATTTTTAACAAAAGATATTTGATTTTTAATTTGTTTGCGCTTAAAAATCTGAAAAGTGTGGAGAGTATTTGTACTGATCCCCTCAGACTCAATATCTATAATTATATATTTCTCTGCATTTGCAGCTCCCAAGTATTTAGACGATGTCTTTTACCAGGTTTGCACATTAAAATGTTGGCCTGTTCTTTGTAATAAAGCTCCAGCTCAGTCAGATGTGGTGCAGATTGTTTCTGAAGCAAACGTCTAAAGTCTTTCCACAGATTCTGGGTTGGATGGAGGTTTGGACTTTAACTAGGCCGCTCCCATTAACCTGTTTACATATAAAGCGTTCCATGGTAGCTCTGGCTGTATCAAGTCTTGGTTTTGGAACGATTACTGTGTTGCTTTACTCTCCATTTTCAGATGATATAATGAGCCTTAAACCTAATTATAGCTCACACTGCAAAATTATCTATAAATAAGTAAAAACTTCCTAAATTAACTGTATTTAACCTTAATTTAAGTAGGTAAATATTATGATTTGCCAGTGAAATGAGTTTGTTTTTTTTACTCATAAAATACGATAGTTGGATAATATACAATTGAAATAAGACAATGCATTGTTTTTTTTTCCTATTTAAAATGTAAATTGTCTTGTTCCATTGGCAAAGTTTCTCTCCTTCCTCCTCAATTCAAAAACAAATCACATCTTTTAACCCTTTAAAGCCCGATCCAAGAATAAAACAAGACAGAAAATTACTTTTTTGATATTAATAATTTATGACTATGCGATAAGTCAAGTTTATTTTTTGTGTAGTCTTCTACTGGCTGTTATCAGGTATATCTGATTGTGTACAATAGGATTTTGATCAAAGTTTTAACCATTAAATTATGCAAAAGGTGTCAGACGCAAAACATTTCAGAAACCGTATGTATCAAATATGATACATTTGGCATTATAAGGTTAAGAAAAAAAATACTTATTGAGATTTAAATCTTTTGCAGAGTATAAGACTTCTATAAACTTCTGCACTACTTTCTCCCCCTACTCACCAGCTGTGGTCTTTGGTCTACATACCTTTTTGTTAAAGGATGTCCTCTATAACAAACCTGCATAGAACAGCCTGATTTATATTGAGATAAAAAAAAGAAAAACTCTGAGATAGACTCTATAGACTAAAACGTTGACCTCTAAGGGCAGTCTGTAACGCTAAGTCGGAGGTCTTCAACAGGGGGTCCACGGAGGTACTGCATGGTAATGCTTTTTTTTTTTGTTTATTCCCCCCTGCAATTTTTTCCACTAATTGAAAAGTCTTTAAATCCACATGAACATGAATTCAACACACTGTAGTAAACAGATAAATGGAGGCAGAAGATGTCTTTCAGTGATCAATGCACATTCAGCGACACACAGGAGCTCTTTCAAGCTGGGCACCGTTTCATTCACAACACCTGTCCCATCAGGTGTACTACTACTGCACAAAGTTGCCCATACTGGGACAAATAAAAGCTACTGAACTGAACTGAACATCAACCAGGAATCAGAATCAAAAATACTTTAATAATCCCAGGGAGAAATTACTTTCCTTACATTACTCCATCTGTGATAGAGTGACTATAGGACCAGTGTGATATAACACAATTTCATACTATATATAATTAGGGGGTCCCCGCTCCATCTCGCCATCAGTTTGGGGTCCTTGGCCTGGAAAACGTTGAAGACCCCTGCACTAAATGATATTTGGAGGTAATGGAGAAAAGGGGCTCAATATTAAAGTGTTCTTTAAAAAAGTTTTATATGACTTTAAAATGGTAATAGGATGACTGTCTTACTTTGGTCCTTACTGGTATAATTCAAGGTTTGCTCTCATGCATGTTTTTTTTAACCTCGGCACACTTATATTATTGTTTTTCTTTCTATAAAGGGGAGACGACAGACATGCTGGAGGCCCACCACGTGATGTTCACAGTGCCCGATAATCAACTGATGGAGAACTATGGAGAAACTAGTAACGGACCAACAGCTGCAGAGGAACAGTTCCCCGGCCCTGCGTTCACTCACTCTATAAAAGAGGAACCCATGACGGCGAACCAGCAGCCCAGCCAGGAAAATTTCCTCTCATCTTCTCAGATAGGGACCGACAATAGAGCCGGAGCTGCGGACAAACCGTTATTTTGGACTTCTGCTACGGAGGAAAATATTGAAAGCCCTGATGAGCCCATCTGTGTGCTGTTACAAGATGTGAAGTATCACCACGGTTCCCCAGGAGGGGGAGCCAGTGAGCAGCAGGGATTCACCTCACAGATGAAGGATCTGGCTTTTATTGACAACAAAGCAAAGAAGGATCCGTATTTAGCTGTGGGGTTACAGCAAAGAACCTCAAATCTCAGTCATGAGCTGGCTGCAGGGGATTTCTGCTCTGAGAGCGACGCCATGAACCAGGAGGGCGTCTATGAGTTTAACCGGAGGGCTTCAGACAGCTATGAGGACGGCTGCAGCGGAGACCCCAGCAGACAGAACTACATCTGCTCCAGTTGTGGGCAAAGCTTCGATAGCTTCCATATTTTCCAGGAGCACCAGTGTGAAAAAGTTTCAGAGCAGCCTTTGAGCTGTGAGATGTGTGGGAAAACTTTCAGCCAGCTTAGCATCCTGAAGCTGCACTTAAAACTACATGCAAAATAAACCCATCAACTGTTCATATATTTTTCATTGTATGAAACCAAACTGGTTCCTTCAATAAAAACACTAATGAAGAAAATTAAAAACATAAACTTTTATATTTCTGAAACAAACCAGTTTTACTGTAAAAACCAAACAAATCAAAGATAAATTATGATTGTCTTCTGTTTACTGAACTGATTTAGTTTCTTTCTGTTTTTTTTTTTTTTGTCTGTAACAATGAGAAAAAAATGTTTTCTTAAAACAACATCTTTCTTAAAACAAAGAGCTTTGGTGAAACGGAGTCACTTTAAAAACAATTTTTTTTTCTAATATTGAGTTATGGCAGCAGGCTTAAATATGCAATTGCATATTTAAAAAAATATTTCAGAAAACAAACAATCTGTTAAAAATTTGCCAATTTTTCAGTTTATAGGTCCCATAATGTGCCATGTTTAAAAAAAAAGACACTAACAATGAGGCCCTCAGAGCATTTTTCTGCTGTGCAGAAAAATTCCTCTAAGGTTAGCCAGAGCTGCAAACTCTCAGTCATTCACCACCAGATTGTCAGGTGTGCGGTGGGGGAAGAACTAGACTATGACCCAATCCCAACCAGACCTCTAAGCACTAACCCTAAGCACTAACCCTATGTTTGCACGTTCCCATTGAGGGCCCTCCACATTAAGTGCCATCCCAAAGCACTTAGAGGATAAGGGCCAGTGGAACCTTCTGCCCTTACATAGCGAGTCAGCATCAGTCTCAGGCTGACTGGAATTGGCAGCAGGTGTAACACTGCCTGGTGGCCGAGGAAACACCTGCATTTAAATGTAAGTTCCACTGATTTCCTGCATCTTCAGCACACTGACGAAAAATCACCAGTATAAGGGAAAAAAAACAAGAAATTAATTCTAAAAGTGAAGGTAATCTTTGAAATATTTTTAATTTACCAAATACATGTGTTTTAAGAAGGGGGCAAATGTTATATTTGCCCCATGGGGTATCACTGTGTTGCCATAGAAACGACTGCTTTCTCTTTCCGTTGGAGGAAAGAGGCCGTCCCGTTCTCGTTTAAACCCTCCTACCTTCAATCAAGGCACCTTCCACAGCTGAGAGTGTCACTTTATTGCGAGTGAGACGTGATAGTGAGGTGTTAGTGGTCAGGGAGCGGTTTGGGATTCAACTTTTGATTCTTTTTTGTAAAGCTAGAAGGAAATTTTGTCCAATGATGCCATGGCAGCTTGGGAAATGAAGCAACAGGTACGCGTCACTATGAAGGCTGGAACCAGCAGTATGCAGTCGGTCCTAAAGTTTTAACGTTACCTCATCATTGGCATCAGTCTTTGATTTAATAAACGTAGACAATATGCAGCCTTACGGTTGCATATCTGTTTTTCAGGGGATTATTTTCTGTGTTTATGACTTCTGACCTTTTCCTGATCTAAAGTCGCATTCTAGGATACTCACCTGTACATTCATATATATCATGCTTACTTGAAAGGAGAAGCTTATGGCAGGCTCTTAAAAAGTGAATCGGTGCATTGCTAGTTTCCACATTGGATAGACAGAAAGACTGACAACAATCAACTGATGCTGCACTTCAGTCCTGAAATTAGAGGTTAATCATTCTACAGGGAACAAGGTTATTTACACATATTCAACACATGAGACGTCTACTCCTTTTCCTGCAGAAAGACCCCAGTCCTCCTACTGTGTCGTCCTCAGAAGGTCAAACTTCAGCTTAGTGTTTTAAATGGTCAAGTCAGCTCTTAACAGTGAAATTAGAAACTGGATGAACCAGAACAGTCTGTCTGCGTTCTCTGAAGAAAATGTCTTATAAAAACCCACATCTACCTGTTTGTGGAAAACCCAATACATTATACCCAATATCAAGCATGGTGATGGAGGGCTGGTGATGTGGGCTTATTTCCCTAAAAACAAATGGTGAAAAACATTCAATCTGAATCACAATTCAGGTTTATTCTGTGTACCAGAAGGTGTTGAAATAAAATCTTCGTTTGATAAACATCTAAGTGGAACATTAATTATTCCAGTGAAGGTTTTGAGGAAACCTTTAAAATAAAATAATCTAGTGTTCCTAATTGCCTTTTTTTTTTTTTTTGTAACTTAGAACCCATGTTGCTAAATCGGTGTCCATGGAAACGCGGTTATTGCATCAGTAAGATTGTGTTTTAGGGCTTTAATCAATAGTGCCATGAGGACTAAATGCTGTTTTTGATTTTAGGAAATTACTTGTTTTTTATAATTATTATTTATATGGCACTAAGATGGCATTTTGTTTACATGTTACCCATTTAAAGAGGTCCTTCTGACTGTTGGTGTCTTTACATCCCAACTAGTCGGAGCAGGTATTAGATAAAATACACCAGGTTCGATGTTTACTGCTGGTAAACCCCAAATTTGTACCCTGATATGTATATATATATATATATACACATACACTACCGTTCAAAAGTTTGGGGTCACATTGAAATGTCCTTATTTTTGAAGGAAAA